TTTCTTTTTAATCTCTGTCCTTTAACTATTTAAATTAAAATAATTAATCGTATTAAAGATTTCCATACCTAATAGTTCACAATATTCTTTTTAAATAAATTTTAATTTTTGTAAAAATATCCAAGGTTCATATAATTTATCGCATACTCATTCTCCTCCATATCAAATTTTTATTGAGCAACTGTGCCACATAGTCATCATAATTGGCATTTTTAAGTCACTAAGTAACCTTATTCTTCTTATACTCATTGTTAAGTTAGATTATACTTTTGAAATGATTCAGAAAGTTGCAGAAGTATATATAAAATAATTATTAAGTTTAGGAAGATCCTTATTTCACAGGGTAAAAAATATATAGATTATCATATGCATTAATAAGGAATTGCAGTTATCTTACTGTTAAAATTCTTTATATAACACTCTTTCTAATAACATATCTTGAAAAATCGAATGGATATTAACATTGAGATATCTAAAAAATAATATTTCTTTTCTACTTTTTCTTTTTGAGAATGGATATCAATATTCCAATTAATACTTCTATTGCAAGTTTACTGACAAAACCAACCTATTTACATCTAATTCTTATGAAATCCTTGAGAGCATCTGTAAAACACTATTTCATAAATTTAATTAAATGGAAGTAGATCTTATTGGTCTCATATCTAAAAGGTAACAATTTTTGGTTTATATTTATTTAATGGTATTAAATGTTCTTCTAAGCAAAAATCATCCTACTTCAGTTTTTTCAATATCTTAGATTATAAAATCAACTTAAAAAATTAGTTGTTTATGAGCTATCGAATTATAATTAGTATCACAGCTGTTAGATTTATAAAAATGCCTTATTATAGTCTCAGCTCCATTATCCAAATACTATTATTCAAGGAGCAAATAATTTTTGATTTCACTTAATCAGTATAGATAAATTTATTATGATAATCCAAAAATTAAATATATGAAATGAAATCATTAATTTAACTTCAAAATTTTCTCTCTGAAGTTATACTTTAAAGTGTGCTGAATTAGTTTAGAATTATAATAAATTTGAATGATGTATTCAAATGATTTTGAAAATATATAGAGATATAAATAACTCTAGTTTGCTTGAATAAAAACACATTGATAATTAATTAATTAGTATTATGAATAATCTAATTTGGTTATATTGTAATTTCTAATTATGACATATGTATTTATTATTGTAAGAATTTATTTAAAATTCAATTACCATATTGTTTCTATTTTAATTTAAAAGAGATTTTATAGTTTTACAGCAGTTTCACTTAATAGCTATATGTTCAAATAATCGAAAAAAATCAAATATGGATAAGACTAAACATTTTTTAATTCTATTAAATCCTAATGAAGTCAGTGGCCTAATTATATATAACAAAATTATTTTGTTTTGAGTAATTGAAAATCTAAAAATATAAATACATAATATTAGTAGAATATTTTATAACATCCAATTTCATGATATTTATATTTTCGTATCGGACTATGAGATATATTTCTACAATTTAATTACTTTGCCATCAACAAACAAAAAAGATGAATTCATAAGAAATTTGTATTAAAATACAGCAACAAAAACAAAAACTTCTTTTGTTGATAATCTTATCAAATATGAAAGTAGACTTTGCATATTTTGTTTACTATATATATCAATATTAGGTTTTCTATAGAAATCTCTCATCTCCTGATTATCTATTAGAATTCTTTAAGGCA